TTCCTGCCTGGCTGACTTGTTCATAAATCCTTAATTCCTGGAACATAACTTACAGCCTTAATAATCAGCATAATAGACCTTGCCTAATTATCTACTCACTACTGCTCTAACTAGAGGCTATTAGGTTGTTGTTAGGTGCCAACAAGTCAACTGAGACACACAGCGGCCCTATGAAGAACAGATCTGAACCCCGTCATCATCATCCCCAACACACTTGAGCCCACTGTTGCAGTCACTGTATCAATCCATCTCGTTGAGGCTCTTTTTCTCTTTCACTGCCTTTCCAAGCATGATATCCAAGGAAGAGCCTCTCTTAACAACATGGCCAAAGTATGTGAGATGAAGCTTCACCATCCTTTTCTCTAAGGAGTGTTCTAGTTGCACTTTCTCCAAGACATACCTATTTGTTTTTTTGGCAGTTCATGGGCTATGCAACACAAGAGTTCAAGGGACATCAATTATTCTATCATCCTTATTCATTGTACAGTTCTCAGAGCAGAGCAGATTATTGGAAAGACCATGGCTTGAATCAGGCACACCTTAGTCTTTAAACTGATATCATTGCTTTTCAGGACTTTGAAGAGGTCCTTGACTGCAGACTTACCCAGTGCTCCTCACAGCTGGTGCCAACGGTGTTGATTGTAGTTTTAAGTAAGAAAAATAGTTAACAATCTCAATCTTTTGCCCATGTATTATTATGTTGCCTATTGGCCCAGTGGTGAAGATTTTTGTTTTCTTGCTATTGAGATAATTCATAGTGAAGGCTGCAATCCTTGATCTTCTTACAGCAAGCATCTCAAGTCTTCTTTAGTTTCAGCAAGCAAGGTTGTATCATCTGTATAACTCAGGCTGTTGATAAGTCCTCCTCCAATTCTGATGCTACATTCTTCTTCATAAAGTTCAGCTTCTCAAATTATTTGCTCAAAATACAGGTTGAATTAGTATTAAGAAAGTATACAGCCCTGACAGACTTTTTATTATTTTAAGCCATGCAGTGTTCCTTTCCTCTATTTGGAAAATAACTTTTTGATACAGATACAGATTTCTTACAAGAATAATAGTTTTCTTCAATTCCCATTCTTATTGATGTTAGCCATAGTTTGTTATAATCCACACATCAAATATCTTTGCATAGAAAACAAAACAGATAATTTTGGGGTATACTATTCTAAAAACAGGTATCTGGGATTATCCTCACCACTTTCATACTTAATAGATTATCCTCTCTAATTGTATTAAAGGTATCTATATGCTATTATTCTAAACTTAGGCATCTAGATATTCATTATCGTTTGATTTAGGCATCCATGTTTGAACACATCCCACTCCATCTTCAAAAGTTTCCACTATTTGCAGACATGGTCACATGTAAAAGGACATTTTGAAATACTGTTATTAGCTGATTGCAAAAGTCAGCTCTTAAAATAGGCAATCCAAATTGGCTCACTAATTTTTTTGAAAGCCTGTGAAACAATGAATCTTAATATAGCTTATGCATAAATCATTTGTGTTTAATGGGACCACCTTTTCACTCATATTTTATTAAAATTATTTGTTGTGAGCTGCAGTTAGCTAACTAATTATACATTACTCAGAGCAATTAAAAACTTAAGAGTCATGTAACTGAGGTAGATGAATAAAATTAGGCTTCCATTTCTGGTACCAGACTGGGACCACAGGAGGGACCACAATATTTTATCTCTTCCATATGACTCAGAAGGAAAATTAGAGATTAATGTTGAAATGTGACTTTTAAACAAAATACAGTCAAAGTAGGTGTTAAACAATACCTATATTTTAAGATGAAACACTTGACAGCATGCTATCATTTTATGCACTGCTTAAGTTAGACATTTAAATTCTAAAATAGAAAATAAGATAAACATTCAATGCTGCATCAGAAACAAAAGAAAATTTTCTTCTTCGTTTCTATAGAAAATAATGACTTAATGATGACATATTTTAGTATGTAGCTTCTGGGATTATCCTCACCACAATAGATTATCCTCTCTAAATGTATTAAACTTTTTGCCGTGTCATCTGTATCTTCTCCTCTATTGGAAAACATTGTAGTCTATTTATATCCATACATACTCAAAGATTTGATACTAGATAGAGATAGACAAATTTTGCTAGAAAATTCTCCAAAAGGAATACTGAGTCTCATAGGAGAGGTTTAGATTTCTAAGCAAATGTCTACAGTGAAAAAGTATGTCCTCATATCAAGAGTGTTTCTACTGTGAATCTGAATGATCTGTGTAGATTACTGTTACATAGCCAAGTTAGTGATCTAAATCAATGCTTAAATTGAACAATAGCAAGTCTCATGGATGAATCTTTATACATATTGCTGTTTTTTACAGCAGGCACATGTCCTTTGCAAACATTTGGTAAAGCATAACCTGGAGTGATAATGTTAGAAGAAGGGGCATAATACTTATTAGTGTCTTTCTATGTGTCAGACAGTAGTCTAGGTGCTTCAAATATTAGCTTCCTCAGTCCTTGGAAAAGTTCTTAGGATGATGAAACAGGAATTTGAAAAATTTAAGTCACCTTCCTGTAGTCATTTGGCAAGGGTTTAGTGGGTGATTATAATCTGCGGCCCTCAGGCCTGGTTTTAGTTGTTTTTGGTCAGTCTTCTAAGTGGTATAGCACTGGTCTGTCCATTTGCTGTACAGAGGTAACTCATGGTTGCTGTGATGCTGAACACTGTGACACTGATGTGTCAAATGCAATAATGGTTACCCAAGGTGGACAGTGTTTGGTGGAGCTCCCGGATTTAAAACAAGCTTGGAAGCAAGAGTGGCATCCACTTTTGAAATAGCTTGCCTCCAGAAACTCTATGAAGCTGGAGAAAGGATGAAAGTTATACAAGTGTTCAGGTCTTTCGTACATAGGGTCACTATGAGTCATCTATGACAACAGTACTTAACAACAGCAACATATGTTAGGTGGGGAAATACCGTCGAGAATAAAAATTACATCATTGCTATGTTCATGCAGTTGACAGCCATTTAGACAAATGATTCCAGTGGTTATTCTCTTTTTATCACATCAAACGTCTAACACATTAAAGATTAGCACTTCTTTTAAAGTCGTGGGGATTCAAGATAAGAATCTAATAAAACTATAATCCAAAAAGATGTGAGTTAGTACTTAAACTAAATCTATGAAGTATTCATGCTTATTCTAAAATTGTGAACAGTAGGATTTGAATCTTGCTTTTATAAAATCCTTTTCTTTAAAATCATCACAGGTGTGTGTCGAGGCTGTACTCTTTCACCATTAATTGTTCAGTATGATTGCTGGGTAAATGAGCTGAGAAGCTGCGCTGTCTGTAGAAGACCTTGGCATCAAGAGCTGAGGACAGATTTATCAACGAGCCCAGATATGCCGATGAAAGTTTACTTGCTGGAAGTGAAGAGGATTTGAAGTATTTCCTAGTGAAATGGAAGATTACAGCCGTCTGTATGGATTACACCTCAATATGTTGTTATTGTTGTTGTTGTTGATTGCCTTTAAGTCGAGCACGACTCAAAGCAACCCTATGAACAAAAGGCCTGAAGCCCCTCTACAGCTATTGACATTCATCAAATTCATAGAGTTTCCAGAGGCATGTTGTTTAGGAAGTGGATGCCACTCAGTATGGATTGCACCACAAAGAAAACAAAAATCCTGGACCAATAAGCAAGACAGAAAATAGTGACATCATCAAAGATTTCATTTTGCTTGTATCCACAATTCATGAAAGCAGCAATCAAGAAATCAAACAACCTATTGCAATGGGCAAATTTACTGCCAAAGCCTCCTTCATAGTGTTAAAAAGCAAGGAGGTCACCTTGAGAACTAAAGTGTACTTGATCCAAGTCATAGTATTTTCAATTTCCTTATATGCATGTGAAAGCCGGGCAATGAAATAAGGACGAGAAAAGAAGAATTGATGTATTTGGACTATGGGACTGGTAAAGTATATTGTACATGTCATAAACAATACTAGAAAAAGGAACAAATCTGTCCTTGTTTGGCTGATGGTGTGGCCAGAAAGCTCTTTCAAAGCAAGGCTATTGAGATGTCAAGGATAGGCATTTTCAACATGTTGGCCCTGAAGGGACCAGTTCCTGGAGAACATCAAATGTGGTAAAGTACAGGGTCACTAAAAAAGAGGAAGACCCTCAGTGAGTTTGAATGACACAAAGGCACAGCAAACATGCTTAAAGATAGCAGCAATTGGGAAGGTGGCACATGACCACACTGTGTTTTGTTCTGTTGTACGTAAGAGCAACAGAAAGCAAATAGGAACCAAGGGGACAGAATCTAGCAACAACAATAACAACTATAGCATTCTTGATAATTTTTACTACTAGGTGTAAAAGAAATTAATAGGTGATAAAAATTATTGTTAACATAATATTCATTACATTTTTGTTCTTGATATTTGTCAACCTCTTAGCTATTTATAAAACATTTTACTTTTTCTTTACTTGCTACTTAGAACAACCTTAGCCAAATATAATTCTTTTTGATCCTAGTTCTCTTTCCTGGTGTGGATAGGAAGGTGTGATTTTGTTTTAACTTTTTCTAGATAATTATTTTACTGAACTGCTGTAATGTGCACTGCATTCTGCCAAACAGTGGGGGTGAAGGGGGGGCGGGGGATGAGTGGCTGATAAAAGAAAGGAAAATGTTCAATCCTTGAGTTTAAAGACAAGAAATGGTGAGACAAGAAATGTAGATATCAGATGAGTTTCCTAGGAAGTTTTAGATACCTAGACTTTTAATGAGATTCACCATTCACAAGAATCTGCTTGATTTACAGCATTTCAGCATTATGGTCGGTGTTAGGTCCGAGGGCATAGAATCAGTTTACATGGAAGAACTCATTTAAAATGAAACCCTTTGTTTCAAGAATGAATGAAAGTAAAGGACAAAGTTTAATTTATCTACTTCTTTTGCTTTTCTCTTTTACAAATAGGTATATTTATTAATAGTTAGCCAGCACAATGGAAAGTACAGCAAAAGGAATTAAAAAGGATGTACAAAACGGGCCATCAAAAGAAGTCAAACAGCCTATCAGTGAAGCACTTCTAGAATTTCAGTAAGCTTAGATCTTGAAATCCTGAAGTTCCCGTATGTAAGCAATAATCATTGCTCAGATTTTGCTCATTTCAAATGGAAACTGATGTAGTCAAAACAAGGGAGTAGATAAAGATTGTAGAATAATTGACTTCTAGGGCGATGTGCATATCTTTAAAGATTATTATAATTTTTAATCTTAACATAGATCAAATAAAAAACCTAATAACACATTGCCATCAAGTCACAACTAACTCATAGCTGACCCTCTACTGAGTTTTCAGAGGTGGACCACGTGGGAGAAGACTGCTCATCTTTCTCCTTTCAAGCGCATGGGGGCTCAAACACCTGCTTTTGGATGCAACTCCTTAACCACGAGGCTACCAGAACTCTCTGACAGTTCAAACAGTAACTATGGAACAGCTTGCCTCAAAGTGATTTTTACTTCCTCCCCCTCTTTTCATGTCTGTCAGATACTCCTCTAAATCTGAACATTCAGATTAAGACAGACTAGGAAGAAGGATTGGCCACCCACTTCTGAAATAGCAGGCCTCTG